CAATAAAATGCTTAAATAGAAACTGTGTGCTAAAACCCTGACACTCATTGGTATTATGGATTTTAAACAAAAAGTTTAGGTTGCAAGACATCTTTTCATTTTTTTCTTTTAAAGATACATATTTTCTGCAGTTTCCACTGACCATTACCAGGATGAGTATATATCTGTCTTTCAGGCAAGCCAAACTTGAAAAGTTCATCTTCAATAATGAAGGAAGGTAATTTTTCTTCCTCCTTCTGGTTTACACAATCTGTAGTAAGGTGTATTTTTGGCTCAATTCTTAACTCCCTTTCCACCGCACCATCCAAAATGAAAAGGCAGCATATCCTACAGACCTGAGCATCAGCTTCTTATATTTGTATTTTCTGCCTCCCTGTACAGACAGGTATATAATTAAAGCAGTTTTCAGACTGATACAAAGGTAAGTGAATAACTGTATTATTTGTGCAATCAGGTGTGCAAAGTATTCTCCCATGGATTTTCCCTCTTTTACATGTCAGGTTTTTAAATCCTTGAAGATCAGTTCATATGGTCTGTACTGTATTTCTCAGGTGAGAATCACAGTAAGAGGATACCAGGCAAAGGTGTCTCTGAATTGTTCTACCCAGGCAGACTGGGCCTTTGGCACTCTGCAATCAGCAATTACTGTGATGTCTAGGCCTGAGCTGTGTTTCTTGTTTCTCTCCTGCAGACCACACTCTAGTAGGCGTTTTTCAATTCCCATACTGGTAGTGCTCTTCCTTTAGCCATTTATACAGATGGAATGCAGGACAGAAAGAAGGGTGAGACCAGAGTCTGGTCCACAATCTAGAGCTTAGCATGATTTTAACCCTGGAAAAAAAAATGAAAAGAAAAAAAAAAAAGAAAGAAAAAGGAAAAATCTAACAGAAGACTGGAATCTCTGAATGTGTGAACAAGAGCATTATTAGGACTCTTGAAAAGGAAATTTCCCATATATTCCACCTCATTGATAATTAGAATCATAGAATGGTTTGGTTTGGAAAGGACCTTATAGATCATCTAGCTCCAACTCTCCTGCCATGGGCAGGGACATCAGGTTACTCAAAGCCACAAAAGGCATACATTTTTGATTTGCTGCACAAATCAAGTGATAGCTTCTTCTTTAGACTGGAAGGACTTCATGCCATACTTTCCAGAAAAACTGTTGATTTCTGCACAAAGTATTTATTTGTTTCAGTGGCTAAATTAATTTATTCAGCACTTTCATCATATCAATATCCATTGTATCAGCACACATGAAAATTACTATTATGCTCACTGACTTCTGAAATAAAGTATAACCAAAACTGTTATTTTCGTATCAGGCAAGGGAAGCTTATCATCCTAGATACTTATAAAATTCAGGATTTATGTATGATTTTTTTTCCCAAGAGTTACATTAACTACACAGTTCTTCTGATGGACTGTGGTTTACTTTGGAAAGTTTCCCTTAAATTGATTGAGTCTGAGTTTCCATCACTTGTGATCTTTGCACTGCCTAAAGTGTCAGTAAGGCCAGCCAAATATAACCAGTGTAACAGAGAACAATGTGTCTAGGGAGATTTTTAAGCTGACCATCTAAGGCTGATTTCAAAACTAAACATCTCTATACTGAAAAAAATGAAAATAAACTATTTGAGAAATGGTACATCATCATCCTTTATTTTAATATCTAACTTTTTTTGAGAAACAGTATTTCAAGACTTATGTGTGATACAAAAACAGATAACTTATCTGATATAATAAATTTCATATTTGTTTAATATGCTTGAGTTCCTTATGCTCTCTTTTTATGTTTGAATCCCTGTTTTTTACAGAAATATTAACCAAAATATGTTTGGAACTTATGTATCTCCCACTGTTAATAGTACCTACTATGTCATTACAATAACCAGTCTAATATAGAAAAATGCATGGGACAAGGTATAAATGGTAAAGTTCAAACCAACTGAAAATTCTTGTGACATATGCATCTCCAAATTGTGAAATGGAACACCATGTACATCTCAAATACGGCAAACAGTTTCAAGTTGTTAACTTGTTTCCTGTGAGAAAAGCTCCTCTAAATCTAATTTTGAACCGCTTGGATAGATGTTTTCCCTTGAGGGACTATTACTGTAACCATGAAACAAGAAGATTTAGGACCTTTACAATAAATTATCTGAAACAAGCCAAAAAGCTTTCCATCCTGACAGCCAAGAGGGAGAATAGAATGAGACAGCTCTTTGACATCTGCTCCCTGCTCCCCTTCAACCTATAAGCCAGCACCTATAGGTGGAGCATGAAAAAGTACAGCTGAGGAACAGGTTGTTGCTATGCTAGGTAGTTCCAATCTTTGTAACCATTGTAGAATTATGTGTGTCATGGAAACAGAGAACAGCTGTTTGATTTATGAGGAACTAGAGAAAAAAATCAACACAAACACATCACAAAATGAAAAACCAACCAGCCACCTTCCCCACAGGCCTTTACTAGATAAGCCACCACTTATGAACTGTGATACTGCAGTGTCACAAAGAAAAGAGAAAATCTACTGTCTTTATGAATTAGCCTAGGGGGGTCCTCAAATGTTTTCGTAGACCTTGTACTACATCATAATTAAGAAATTGTCTTGTATCTCAATCATGATTATATAAATATTCCATAGGAACTACAGAAGCATGTTTTGTGAGAAAAATGGTACTAAACGCAAAGCAGAATACTTTTCTATTTTTTACTCAATAAAGTTATGTAGGTAGCAAGGAGAAACACAACCTGAACTAGAGAACTATGGACCTCTCCATGGACCACCACAGTGTTTCACATGGCAACCTGAGAACATCTGACCTGGTCCATTCTTGGGGCAATCAACTAGTTGCTCCCTATAAGAATAATTTCTATGGTTTGTTTTTCTATTTTTAATTAATTTTGTTGAAAGCTGTATCAGCTTTATCTATATTTTAATGTCTGGAACCAATTCTAGAGCTTGCCTTACAGTAAGACCTCTAGCTTAAACATTAGTTTCCCATTAAGCACTTCTCCTGCAGGGTGAACAGTATGAAGTTATCTTACAGAATTTATGCACCAAAAACAAAGCTAAAAAATGGTGAATCAGGAAAAAACGCAGAAGATTCCTGGTTACTAACAATTTGTTCTAATTTCTTTCAGGAAATAAAAGAAAAACAATAGTGAAAATATATGTGTAGGGTACCTGAATTCCACAGAAGGTCTTGAATCCAATACTTTTTTTCTTCCTAATTCTCATCTGATATAGGGTAAGCTGTGGTCACATAACTTTAAAAACATTTGAGATGGTGACAGATGAAGAGATATAGCTATAGCTCTCTTCTTTTATTAAGGGTTTTTTAAAACTGCATTCTGTCAAGGACCAGATAAAACTGGAAAGCAGAAGCAAGATAGAAAACTCAGAGATTAAATTGCTCGCTTTTACAGAATAGGTAAGAAAACAAAACAATGTTATTTCCTTTTTCTTCTTTCTGGTAAGTCCTTTAGGATTTTCCTTTTCAGAGCCTCTCAAATCCTTAACTACTTCTACATCATATCATCACCAATAACAACAAGACCTTCAAAATGAAAATCATCACTAAACATTTTCTACTGGGTAAAAAAATTACTTCACCCAATAGTTGTGAACAAACAGTTGAAGAGGAAGATATTGTTTACCCCAAAATGATGGTGCTCAAAGACTAGGAAATCTGTGTTACATGAAACAATTCTCTGTGACTAGATCATCCTTCATTTTAGTAAGCCAAACTTTACAAATACATTAAAAAATTCATATTTCTTGGGTTTCAACATAAAAATTATAATTCCATCTTTCAGGGAACTGGAATTAAGCCAACAGTTTCTCCTAAAAATGGGTAAAACAATAGGGTTTGAACAAATTTGATGTTGTAGCTACTCGAGTTATATTATTCCTGTGCTATGTGGTTGTGCTCCACCAACTTAAATTTACGATTTAGAAAATTCTTGGTAGAATGCACCATTTCAGACAGATAGATTTGGTGCGAAATGAGGACAGAAAATGCATTCTAAAAAATGAGTGGGTTTTTTTCCTGTTTTCTTTATGTCCCCTTTTCCTAATCCCTTCTCAGTAAGGCTCAGAGCACTTAGAAGTCTCATGATAAAGGAGTGACATTTCCATGGGCAACAATTTTATGGCTGGCTATGCAGTCGTGGATCTTCCTTATAAATATGTACCCCGTCTTCAGCTAGATGAATCTAGTTGAAAAAGGAAGCAAGATTTGCACTAAAAAGTGAAAAAGCCCACGACAAACAAAAAAACCTACCAAATACTGCAACAATAGCAAAATACCCTAGCAAACACTTTTAAGTATAACTATTTTTACATTATTTTTGAGGGAAATGTTGTAAGATAATTGTGATAATTCTTATAGCTACTTACAATAGAATAATGTAATATATGCTTCTCCTTTAAAGGCAGCTCACAAGCTCAGTGCACACAATACCTGATCACTAGCCCTGAACTTGAAGAAAAAGCCTGCACACACACCTGGAGGAAGATTCATTACAACAAAAAAGTAGGTACATTACAGCAATATCTATTAATACAGGAAAATTCAGTTCCTAAAAGGCTTTATTTGCAACATGTATCCTGTCTGCACATGTCCTACAGCAGTCTCAACTAATAAAACTACAGGTCAGGTTTTCACAGGGTGCTTGCTTCATACATGCAAGAGGCACATAGCAAAAAAAAAAAAAAAAAGCATAGCATTAAGTTTCATGGATAGACTCAAAACTGAGAACGGGACATCATAATTTATTTTTTCCCCCTAAAAAAATCCACAATAATATATTTTGGGGAAAAGAGTGTTAAACTTTTTTTTTTCCAGGCAGCAGTCTCTTCATGTGTTTTTCCTATGTATTTTGGAATCAATTTTTCCCCTTGTCATACAAGCAATAAGAAGGTTTAAAATACACATGATCATAAATGGTTTTGCAAAGAGCATTTGGACTGTAATTAAAGAGTGAGAACTTACTGTCTTGCTGATGTAATTTGTGCTGGTGTTCATACACTGGAGTCCTTCACTATTGCAGCAACCTCCACATCTGTAGATGGATACACATGGGGGTTTAAAGAAGGTGTTTGTGGTTGCTCCAAACTCTTTTCCCACATCCACACACACTTCACGTGGCATGCACTGAGTTTTTCTCCATTCAGTATCAATACCTGCCAAGTTATAGGGAATTTCATGTGTTATAAAGTAACTGTTTAGAAACAATACTCTCCTACAGTAAATTAGGATTATTTTTAAACTTTAAAACCAGAATATGCATTGCTAGAGTCACACCCTTTAGTCAGTAAAATACATCTCTCTCTGTTAACTCCTGTCTGACTTTTCTTCTTCACAGGGACATGACATACTGTCTAGGAGCAGAAGAAAAGTCACAGTGGAACTAAGAGGGAGCCTAACAAGGTGGAGGAGACCTTAAAACATAGCACCATTGAATTATGGAATGGCTTGGCTTACAAAGGACCTTTAAAGGACACATAGTCCAATCCCCCTTGCAATGAGCAGGGACATCTTCAACCAGATCAGCTTGATCAGAGCCCTGTCCAAACCTGAATGGCCTTGGATGTTTCCAGAGATGAGACATCTACCACCTCTCTGGGCAACCCGTTCCAGTATTTAACTACCCTCATTGTAAAAAAATTCTTCTGTGTATCTAATCTGAATCTTTCTCTTATTTTAACATTATTAACATTGTTCTATCACAACAGGCCTTGCTAAAACATCTCTTCCCATTTTTCTTATAGATCCCCTATAGGTACTGGAAGGCTGCTATATGGTCTCCCTGGAGTCTTCTCCAGGTTGTCTTCATACAAGAGGTGCTCCACCCCTATGAGCATCTTCATAGCTCTCCTCTGGACCTGTTGCAAGAGGTCCACATCCTTATGTTGGGGGCCCCTAAGCTGGAAACAGTACTCCAGATGGTGTCTTACCAGAGCAGAGTAGAGGGGCAGGGTCACCTCCCTCGACTTACTGTTCAGTACCTAAAGCTGTACTTGTTCTTTCTCCTATGCCTGGGGCAAGTCTCAACTCGAGTAAAGTCTAAAGAAGTACTGCATATCTCTGCAAATAATTTTAACCAGTCCCACACAGTACTTCACTTGAATACTATATATTAGAAACATTAAATTTTAAGCCTACACACTTAATGTGAAATTAATTTAAATACATGTTTAGTTTGTTAACTACAAGAGTGGAATTCAAAGCAAAATGTTATTATTTAGCAATTACATACAACGTGATTTAATCGAAGGGTGATATTTGTGCCCAGATTATCCATACAAATTTGGGTGAAGATTTTACATCATGTTATACAGCCTTTTACCAAATACAATCTTACACTAAATGGACCAGAGACTTGCAGCTGTACAGGTACCTTTATTCTCTTTTGGCACCAGATTTTGGTAGGCTGTTCAACAAAAATGGAAATTTTGCCAAATGTGCACTTTAAAGTCTCCATTAAGGTACATGATTTCCAATATGTCAAAAAAATACATTTTCTGCTATAAATCCTGCGTTTCTCTGCCCGCAAGCACTTGCTTAAAGTAAAAGGTAATATATTTTTATCCAAGCCATTTGAAACGTGCCAAAAGGTATTGACATATTGGCTTGAAAGCTGTTTTGTTCTTGTTTTAGCATAACATCATGAAAACTGCTCTCTTGTAACAGGAAAAAGCTACAAGTGGATTATTTGGCATCCTAAGGCCATAATGTGTAAGAGAAGAAAGCATTACCAGTCATGATGTAGTTGCAGAAAATGAGCAGAATCAGTTCAACAAATCCAACTATGAGCACCCTCTTTGCTTTCTGCAAAATTGGTACAGCCTCTACAAAGTAGGATTCTTTATACCTTAAGACAAGCACTTAACTTCCTTTGCCTACTGAGCTGAGAAAGCAATTTTCTTACAATGGATGTATCCAAAATATGCCTGCGGAGCAATTTGTTTCATTACGGAAGGCTGACTATCAAAGATTTTATATTATAGACATCACATCTAAACAAACTGCTGAGGTTGATTTACTGACGATGTTTAGTTTTAAGATATTTTTTACACAAACGAAAAGTGTTCAGATTTTAATTTATTGTGTGTTAGAACGTGGTTTGTGTCGTGTACTTACTTTTCAGGATCTCTGCATTATAGTGTGCTGCAGCAAATTTCAGGGAATCATCTGATCTTGTGTCAAAGCTGGAGTGTTCCCTGTTGTGTTGCCAACCTCCTTTCCTCAACTGACATTTGAACATTTTCCAGTATTCTGGGTAAAGTACTGTCATGAGTTCATCCACACTGGACACAGATCGCAACTGCTCTTCCAGGTCTTTGCTTGCATGAGCCTGTCAAAATAACATGCAAGATTAATTACTTTCTCTATTACACAAGGTTTGCTGGAAACTAGGCTGAAAAGCAACTCATGCATTGTAAGATAAAGTCCTCCTCAAAGAGGTCTCTCATTACAAAAACTGCTTCTGTCTGTCAGTGACAACAGTACTACATTGACAAACACTGCAACATTTTGCTTCTGTGACTAATTCTTTACCACACTTGTAGTTCAAAACATCTGCATAAGAAAGGAGCTATAGCATTAAGTCTATACAAGTAGAGTTTGCTGATAAAAATAAAAAGCAAAAAAAAAAAGCTTTTTTATCCTGGAAAGATAAGTTTTCATGATAAAATTTTGAATGCATAAACCCCAAAATAGTTACATGATGTTCATGTTACTTAATATCACAACTGTAAAAAGTAGCACCAAAATTTTGCCCCTTTTCCCGCAGTCCAGGAAAATCAAAACACGTAGAAATGCAAAAACAGTTGAACTAGGGGAAAGAAAAGAAGAAAATAATTAGTGTTATTTTATACCTTTTTAGGGAAAATCTGAATAAGCAAATTCAGGAGTAGGTAGGAGTCAAGGTCTTTGGTACCTTTAAGAATCTAAACCGCATACCCCCTGACTCTACTCTTTAGGCCTCTAGGCACTACAGTCTGCAGCTTGTTTCGGTATTAGCCTCGAATTCTGTAACCTTGCTTTTTTATTCACTGGCCTTTACACAAACTCATTGCAATTACAGTTTTCTAAATGGCTGAGATTTACATTCCTGTTTATCAGATTCCTCTGTCCTCTCAGATGAAACAAACTAGTGAGTCAAAGAACTGCTGTCATTCCTTGCCCACTCTCTCACCCATGAATTGCTGACTTCCCAAAGGGAAGGGTAAGTATGGAGAAAGAAAAGTACTGAAGAATCTTTAGCCACCTTCTTGGACAATGTGGCCCTTAGATGGCAGTACAAGATATAAAATATTAGATGTACACTTTGCACAAATTGTCTAGCAACTGGCTGCAGAGTGTACAGTTTGCTCTAGTCAAAGAACCACCAGGCCGTAACAGGGTAAAACATGCTAAACACAGAAATATGAAACTATATAAAATGAAATTTAAGGTTCCTTTTTAGACTCCACTACTAACAAGAAAAAGAAATTCTTTCAATTCAATGATTTTGAACACTATGTGAGTGAAACAGGTAGTTCTGAACTAGCTCACCTGAATCAAAACTGCTCCTTGTCTCAAACAACTACAAGGGAAAAAATGGCACATGTGCCATTGCATCCACTCCCTTATACAGTGTGCAATATGGCAGAAATGCCTCGGGGTAAGGCAAATTCACAGAACTCATTTCTGTAAATACAGAACTCTGAAGATGGTGAGGCAGTAGAACAGGTTGCCCACAGAAGTTGTGGATGCCCCATCCCTGGAAGTGTTCAAGGCCGGGCTAGATGGAAAGAATCCCCCCACAGCAGGGGGGCTGAAACTAGATGATCTTTAAGGTCCCTTACAGCCCAGGCCATTCTATGATTCTATTACCAATTTTAATGCAATTTTTTTATGACGAAGTGTTATGGTGTAAAAAAAATTTTTACTACAGTCTTGCTAATCACAACATCATTGCAGACTACTTAGTCCTGGGAGGTTTCAACAACCAAGCTATTGTCTCAGATACATGCTCATGCAGGTTGTCATCTCTTTCCTTGCCTCCATAGGAATGGTCATCCCTGACACAAGCATGAAGCACTATCTGGCGGCTTTGCCTTCAAATTCAATAACAACACAGAGCATCTTGCTCCTCATTGCCCCTGCTCTCCTTGCAGGATGCCACACAGGGTCTCAATTAGTGGGTCACAGACGTTAAGTTCAAGCTTAATAAACAACTAAATCAGCTACTGTCTGTTTGCTTTCATCTCTCCAGAGTGGTGAGAAGCGCAGAGTTTGAGTAGACTCACTCCTACCAGCCTGTTTCAGGAGGGTTCTGCAGCACATGTCCCTTGAGTAATGGGAAGCAAGCTGCTGCACCAGCACCGTAAACGCCAGAGTTGCAGAGGCATGTGTGCCACGTGATGAGAATACGCATGGCACGGGAGGTCACAGCGTGCATATCCTGTCACAAGGCTGGATGCCAGTCTATAATGCAAAAGGCACAGGAATAAAAACTGTGCTTAGCCATCTAGTAGGTGATCCTAGGAGGACCTAGCAGATCATGGGGGTAACATGGAAAGAGAATCCAACAAAAGGTTCACCGCCTTTGATGAATCACTTAAAAGTCTGTGCAGCTCACTGTAAACAAAATGTTGGCTATTGCTGTTTCAGATATTCAAATTACAAGCCTAGAGCATCAGGAAAATAAGTACAGAAATTCAACATTACTTAGCTGATAAGATGATATTACCAGTTGATGGAGCAGGAAAGAGAGTATTGGTTAGATGTAATGCATGCTGATGAATTGCTCTTTGGTCAGAAAATCAAGCCATGTCTTTTCAGCTGAACACAAAATTTGGTATACACTTAGAAAAGACATATGAATAAAAGTCAAAATATGATGACATTGGTGGCTTAACTATGTATTGTATTTAATTTAATAAGGTATTGCTTTATCCTGGATATTCCATGGCCCAAAGTGCCATGTGCCTACAACATGAAGTACTCTCTTAATACGAACAGAAGGAAAATGGTATCTGGAGCGCATATACATATATATATATACTTTTAAAAAATCATCACTATTGCCTCTGAATTATTTTGTGTTTAGTTTAATAAAGCCATTTGCTTGTAAAGATGGCTTCAGTTCAAACTTACACTGTGGAAAACCAATTTGATCACTAGAGGGCTTTTGTTCTCTCTTCCAATTTAGAATAAAGGGGAGAATAAAATCCATACATCTATACTAAATACATTACATGTGGTGCCCAGAGTTTAGGAACCAAAAACTAATAGAAAGAATACATTGATTTTCAATATGCTTACAGTGTTACCTTGACACACAGATCGATGATCTCTTCCTGCATGTCTGTGTATTTTTAACTGCAGCAAACTATTCGCATCTGTGACAAACTCTTTAAAGGAACATTTGTTTAAGGAGCTTGTAGAGTGATTGAATTTTGTATAGCAGCCAAACTTCTTTGTTGACATGAACATCAATCAAAATCTTAAATTCTAGATGATTAGAAGAGTGTGTTCTACATATAGTATAAGCATCAGATCATTAAGGATTGTTAAAATGAATTTCTACATTTTTAACAGAGAAATGCATCTGCCTCTAAATATAATAGTTGTCTGGCAACATTTTTGATTTTGTGCAAACTTTGGTAAATTTCACAAAAATATACTGTCTTGGTCCATATCTTTTATTTGCTCTTTCTTAATTATGCATTGGTTTGTAGAGTAAGACACTGCACTTCCATTGCAAAACAATTTTGAGACTTCAGCCTCTATACAGAATACGTGACAACACACAAAGAAAGTAGCAACAACAAAAATGTACTACAGATCAGAGGAAATCTAATTTGTTATTCATCTTATGCAAACCCAGATTAGTGAAGTTTAGAAAGAAATATGGTTTGCAGTTGCAGTTACTGTCACCAAGATAGTTATTCCCAAATGAAAAGTTTAAAGGGAAAAAAGAAGTTCTATTGTCTCAAAGTAATAGAACATTAACAAAGGCTGTGATAAGAGAAACCTACAATGCTTAGGACCAAAGAAAGCTTTTTGATAAATGTAAACAGTCAGTTGATTTTTCATATAATCAGTTACAGTGCACTTCAGATGAAATCCTGGACCAACTGCTTAATGTTTTACTGTCAAGGCAAGATTCTGGGATCTATGTTCTGCACTGAGAAGGAAGCAGAAAACAGTGCCAATAGTGATTGTGTAGGGAGAAGTTTACTCTGCCCCATGTTTTCTACTTTCTTTGCTCTTTGAAGGCAGTTAAGGGATTGGGTTCTGAGCCTTTATTGTATTTTTTTTTAACCACCACCATTCCCTTCATAAGTGTTTATCTCTGTCTTTTGACTGGCCATTCTACCTTTTTCATCATTTTAACCTATTATCAATGTTGTTCTGCATGATCACCTAAAAATGCTAGAAGGTATATTCTAAAAAAGGCACTGACTAAAGCTTTGACTAGCCAAACTCTACAAGATGATAGGTGATATTTAGCAAAATAACAGGAATAAAACAACGAATGGAGAATACAATAAAGACACATTTACTCCATTTCAGTTCTTACGCAGTATTTCATGAGGAACAGGAGAAATTACAAATACACCTATAAATAAAGGAGTAAAGCTTGATGACAAGCACTCTCTTGCTATTATTTATTTTACTTCAGAGCATTTTGTTCTATTGAAGCATGTTTTTCACAGTGTGGCTTTCCTTCACATGATATGTCCAGTTTTTCATAAATTTATAGCCTGCTAAAGAAGGGGCAGGATACCAAATAGGCTCTATATCCATTAACAAAGTCAAACCTGTAATAGATTTTCCATTCATTACATTATTTATCTTTCACATGTCCCCAGTGTCTGCCTCTGCTATTAACAACAAAGGTCAGAACACTTAATATTTGGCAGCATGCTTGACACATAATTGATGGTGCAATGTGCTATAACTACTTTATGTATCTTCTCTGACTTGAGTTGTCAGCTCATTTCATTTTCAAGGATTTTGTTGACAATTGTTAACAGGAAAATGGTGTCTATAAACCCCTCCATTTTAATATGCTTATAATATCTATTTATTGAGTTACTGAAATGCATTAAAATCAGGCAGTCAGGTCTGCATGTCCAAATGGTAGGTAAGAAAATGAAAACATGCAAGAGAAAAATATGTATAAACACTTGACTTGCATAATAATTAATTGTAATTTTCATGTATTTCAGTGCTAGTGTTTTTGGAAGTTGATGACAGCAAAACACAGAAAATACCCTCCTTAAATATCATAGCCATAGTTGAGAAAGAAATCGAACTTTTATGTCCACATCTGTAAGCATGCTAGAATAGCTCTGATTT